GTAGAGGAGATCTGAGGGAAGACAATAGGAGGAGCAGCAGCACAAAGGAAGGAGTGGAGGAGAGGAGGAGAGGCTGAAAACTGAGGAGAGCTCCACAGACAGTCGACTTGGAAGAGGACAGGTAAATAAAGACTGAAATGAAAGGAGGAAAAAGGAGGAATAGAGTCTGAGTGGTCAGGTATCGGACTTTGACAGGATGTCCTGCAGTAACAGGAAGCTGACAGTGGTGGTGCTGTGAACCCTTTGAACTCTGCACATGCACAGAGTAGGAAAAAAAAAAGAAATTCAAGTTGCTGCATGTTTGTTTGACACACGGCGCTTAGCACTTAGCATTTGATCAGAACTCTGCGGGCTCTCGGTTTTAAATATTTAATTGTGATTAATCACAAATCATGTTCACAGTTAACTCTCGAATAATACGTTTTTTAAAAATGTACTTTGAGAGGAATGTTTTCCTTCTAGTTCTCTTTTGAACACGGTTGTTGACAAATGGTTGTTTCAAACAGTTTTCTGCTCGTTGTAATGTCAACAATCAATAGGGAATATTCTGCAGAATGACCAAAGAGCAAAGATTATAGTATGTCAGAGGATCTTGGACCATGTATTTGGATGAAAATAGGTTTGTACTTACCGATACTGCGTACTGGTAAAAATCAGGTGACCAGAGTCGACCTCAGGTCACAGCTGGACTCATTTGTCTCCTGTGTTTTCTTGTGTTTCGTTCCTGCAGCTGTGTTACCAAAGTCTGTCGGAGGATTGACAGACGGCAGTGTCGAGAGTCAAGCCATGCATCCCAGTCCTTCGGTGGGCCGACCTCCGGGTCAAAGAGGACGGAAGCCAGGGAAAGTAAAGGTCAAAGGTGCCCTTGGTGACAAGGCCTCAGGTTTGGCACCACAAACTGTCCAGTCGAACAAAGAGGCTGGACTTTTCAAGGTCCCCAAGAAACGAGGACCAAAGCCAGGATCAAAGGTGGGAGAATTGTTCAGAAGTGCTGCCAAAAAATGTTCACCGTTTAAACAGAAACTTTTTTACGAATGATTTAACACTTCACTGTGGAGTCTGTGGAGTTCAGTCTGAGCTCCTCCTGTAAAACTGATGTTAATTGTTTTACTTTTACTCTCAGACTCAGCAGTAAAACCTTTCATGAAGACTTTGAACTTTATTTGATTCATTTCATTCCATTCTTTTTTCTTTTTTTTTTCCTGACAGATGGCCTGGAAAAAGAGAGCGGGTTGGCTGGAAGACTCCATTGCCGTCCCAGGAAGGTCGGTAGCAGGCCCAGGGAGAACGAGGGGCAGGCTGCCCACCAACTCAGCACAGAGACTGGGACAACAGGCCCTCACTCAACCCACAAAGATCCCAAAGAAGAGAGGGCCGAAGCCTGGGAGCAAGGTGTGTGTCATTTCAGCCTGGTTTGGTACAGAGTCAACAGATTCAGTTGAAAGTATTTTTATTTTACAACAGAAAAGGTTAAAGTTGATGTTACATGGCTGTATGACTTTGGATTTACAATTTGTTTGTCATGTCAGCAGAATGTCTCTTATTATTATTTTTATTTGTTTTTGTCTCTATTCAGAGAAAACCACGGCTGGTCCCTAATCCCGTCCCAACGTCTCCCATCAGTAGCACTCCAGAACCTGACACCAGCACCGTGCCCCAGGACAACGCCACCATCCCCAACTCTGCACTCCAGGCTCCCACAGGTATTTAACCCCCCCACCCTCACCCTTCACAATCACTTTGATAACAGTTTTGAGAAAGAGAACATGATGGTTGGTATGTCCTGTCGTTGTAGTTTGCGTCTACCTGAACAAGTACGGGAAGGTGGGGCCCCATTTAGACCAGAGGCGTATCCAGCAGCTCCCAGATCATTTTGGACCGGGCCGAGCCTCCTCCGTGCTGCAGCAGTGCGTCCAGGCCTGTGTGGACTCCGCCCACAGCCAGAGCACCGTCTTTTCTTGTCTTAAACCTGGTCAAGGCGGCGAAGTCATTTCTGGTAGGACACACTGTCTTGTCATTTCCTCCTTTATTTGATACCATTAAAAATACCATCAAATACCATGATACCATCAAAAAAAAAAACTGCAATAATTAATATTTCACTATGATGTGAAATCATACATTAATGAGTCGTTTCCAGCTGAATTTGTAACACGTTTAATTGTTTAGAATTTTTAAATACTTAGGTTCTTATAAGCTCCTTTTAATAGGGCAGGAAAAAAAAGGTTTTTTTAAACATAAAAAGGTTTTTTAAAAATTCTGTCCCTTGTGTTTTCAGCCTACTTTGACCAGCAGCAGCACACCCTGACCCTTCCGACAGTCAGCAGTGTCACTTACGTCCTGCGCTTCCTGGAAAAGCTCTGCCACAACCTCCACTGTGACGCACTGTTTGGGAGCCAACCTGTGTCCAGAGGAGGCCTTTACTACAACAGTCACACCTACAGCCCAGGTCTGGTTAGGTGTGCAGTCAGAGTGACAGATGGGTTTATGGTATAGGTGGGGGTTTGCTTTGGGGCGCACAGGGGTGAAGGTCAGCAGGAGTCAGGGAGTAAATGTATGTGTTAGGGTGTTAGTAACTGCAGTGGATAAATATATGAAGTGTTAACACCCAGTAGTTTGACTGTCTGGTGGATCCGTCTGGGTGAAGGTGTTTCTGTCTTCTCTCAGGTGAGTCCTTCACAGAGAGGAGCATCACTGCATCAGAGCGCTTCAAAAAGGGACCTCTGTCTGTGGAGCTGAGGTCTCCCACAAAGAGCCTGCACCATCCTGACTTCACTGGTAGGTTAAGGAGTTACATACAGAACAATGTCACCTGTTACTGTAACCACCTCCACCTTAACTGTCCCTCTGATCTGTCCATCCTGGTCAGTCCCAGTGGAGATCTCAGCATCTTCACCTCCACCTCAGCCTCCTGTCCTTCAGACACAGACACTGCCTCTAAACCTAATCATGTAAATAATCTCCAACTCTGTTCCCCCTCAGGCTCAGGCAGTTTGAGTCCCAAGCCCAGCGGTCAGGACCCCAACCTGTGGACGGTGGAGGAGGTCATGCAGTACATCAGAGACATCGATCCAGTCCTGGCTCCACATGCTGATCTGTTCAGGAAGCACGTAAGTTTTTCTTTATGGTAAAACCTCCTGGTAAATATGGTATTTAAACAGAACAACAGGATCATATACTGTAGAAGAAGGGTTTCAGACCAACAACTGGTCACTGCTGTAGGACTCTGGTTCACTGGGACATTGAAGCAGTCAATAAGGACGGTCATAAAGGCAGTACTTCAGAACAAACTTACCTGACTCTAATCAACAGATGATTTATCTAAAAACAAACAATCATTTTATTCTATTTTAAAGCAGTTACTATTGATTTCTTAAATACATTTTATTTTAAAGCAGTTACTTTATGATATATGGATTTCAGTTGTGGTGGAACAATAAAGTGCATTTTAATAAAACATTTAAGTTTTTGGTCAAAAAATATTTGACCAAAAACAAGGGAAACATTTCCGGTTCAAATAAAAGTTGTTTGATGAACAGACGTCCTGGTGAAGTTAAAGAACAAAATGTGTTTATTTTCTCGTCTCTGTTTCTTCACCACATTCACAGGTACAAACTCACAGTACAATTACAGCTGTTCTAGTCAACATCCGTCCGCTCTGTCGATCATCTGTGGAATTTTATTTTTATTTTCATTTCAAAAGTCCAGGGTCTGTCAATCCATCTACGGGGAAAAAACAAACTCAAACCAGCTTCCTGTCCTGTATTTGCTGAGGCAGAGTTTGGAGGTTAGGGTTGTTGACCAGCAACAGTGGGAAAAGAGAACATTATTTGGTGTTTTGGGGTTTTTTCTTGCATCTTGAACCTCCTTGTCTTTGGTGCACCCATGATACAGAGTTCATCCATCCATCTTCTACCACCTATTACATTTTTGGACACTAGGGGAGTGTGGTCCAGCCTGGACAATCCTCCAGTCCACACTGAGTTGACCTGTTGACCTAATCTTTAATCTGAGTGTTTCTGGACTGTGGGTTTGAAGATGGAGAATCTGGAGAAAAAAATGAAAGTCTTTGTAGAGTTTTTTTTTTTAAGTTTCACAGAGAGTAAGAGGAACCGCCTTGTTATTGTTGGATGTGGTTGGTTGAGCGAGCACAGATTCACCACTTCAGAGGACAAGTGTTGTTGTCGTGTGTGCTTATTTTATGATGATAATAAAGGTGATGGTTCGTCTTCGTCAGCGCTTCAAATGGACGTGTGTGATGTCACTGGACGCATTTTTGTTTTGTTTTTTTCTGTTTAGCCACTTTTGTACCTTTTACCGTGGGAATTGTGTTTCTCGTCCCCCTACAGGAGATCGACGGCAGAGCGCTCCTGCTGTTGCGCAGCGACATGATGATGAAATATATGGGGCTGAAGCTGGGCCCCGCCCTCAAACTAACTTTTCATATTGATAAGCTGAAGCGCCCTTGAGGTCAGGTGACCTGAAGGAGGCGCTAAAAGGACTGAAGTCGAACCCCCGTCCCCCGTCCCCTTAACTTCTGTCTTCTGTTGTCGCAGCCCAGTCCTGACGTCGGCCAATGAGAGACGTTGTTTTTGTGTAGCACAATCCGTTCGCGGCCCGATGAACCGGCTCACCGTGGTCTGTCCTACATTTCAGTGTAAAGTCAAGATGTTCTCCGTGGACACTGAGCTGCTCTGCTCTCACATATAATCTGTACATACCTCACATTTTTAACCATCGACCTGTATTTTTGACTTTCTGTCTGAAGGTACTCACAAAACAGAGAAAAATTTGGTAGAAAGTAAAAAAAAAAAAAAAAAATTTAAAAACACTAAACTCATCCTCAGACCTGGAGCAGAGTCTGACACCTGTTTCTGTTTAAGACACAGGTTTTTTTTTTTTTTTTAAATAAGTGAAAATGGTGAGGATAAAAAAAAAACTTGTGTCTCAAACAAACTTTACTGGATGTTGTTTTCAGTGGCTGGTCTCGCCGTTATTTGTACTTTTTTTATTTTTTGATACTATAAAAATAAAGTTATTAAAGTGACGACATGGTTTAATTACTATATTGGAATTCAACTCTTTAGATTTCTATAAAACCATGAACAGCCTGTGACCTCAGGGTCAAAGGTGACGAACACTGGAGTGTTTTAATAATGGGAGACGTTTGTGTGTCTCGTTACGTGGAGTAGTACCTCTGAAAATATAAAAGTACTACAGGGTGATTAGACCTGCAGTGTTCACATAAGACATAAAAGTAGAACTGCAACTGCTACTACAAGGGGGCGCCAAAGTACCAAGAGTAATCCATGTTCCATAGTTTGAGAACCCTGACAGTTTAACTCCAGATTAATGTCGAAGGAACGTATTTCAACAGTGAAAAATCTATTTTTTTTTGTGACCCTGCGATGGACTGGAGATCTGTCCAGGGTGTAACACCGCCCTCGCCTGGTGACTGCTGGAACTGACACCAGCACGGATTACATGGTAGACAGAGATAATTCTGATGACTTTATTTACATGTTAATTTTTTTGTAATAAAACACTATTCTGTGCATTAGCTTCAGTTGGTTCGTTCTGTTACCTTTGTGGTGAAAGGGTTCACAGTTGGACAGATAATGGAGGTTTGAAACTGAGTGTGGGTCATTTTCGGCGTTTTTTCTATGCTGCCACCAGGGGGCAGCACAGCCCAGCATTCCCCCTGTAGGCCTTTCTCCTTGGTGTTTCTCCTTGAGCCTCACTGTCACGTACCTCCTTTGGTGGCCATTGCTCCATCTGGTAGATCGAGCAGGGTCATTCATATGACGTCGACTCCCCCAACCCCCTCACACACACACCATCTAAAACAATATATCTACTCAAGGACTGTCCCTGTTGTTTCTGTCGAATATTGTTTGTGTCCACACACACACACGAGTTGACGGTTTGACTCCTGAGGCAAGGCAGAGAAAAAGCAGAACATTACCAAATCCTGTAAAAACAGGAAAGTGAATGAAAGACTGACCAGAGCCGTGACTGTAACTGACAGGAGTGATCATGTTAGTGTGTGTGTGAGCACATGACACACACACACACACACGTACAGCCCGAGCCTCTGTGTTCTGCTGGGTCACATGTGACTGCTCAGAGCTGTGTAATAGCAGGCAGAGTGTTGTGTATGGAGCCCGAGCTATTTATAGAAATAACAGCTTGTTCTCTCGCTGCATGTTGTCTTTCCGAAGGTTGAGAAGCAACGTCTCGCTTCCTAATGCTGTGTTTGTGTGGCTTTTATCCTTTCACCTCGGCTTTGGTTCTGTCAGTGTCACGGGTCTGCCGTGGACGCGCCGGTCCGCACCGGCGTCGTCATCACAACACGGGTGATGTGATGTGATGTGATGGTGGACCATGTTAGTCCAGTGGTCGACCGCAGCCTTCAGACTGTAAACCAGATTGAGTGTTCGAGCTACAGGACTGACCGAACCGAGAGGAGAAACTGTTATATTTATACACAGAGTTAGTACCTCTGGGCCGCCCCACAGGCTCACACCTAAAACCACAGAAAACAACAGGAACTGTGCAGTGGGCGATAACAGTATGTGGACTGAATAAGATATATAATTAGTCATTATTCTCATTTGTCGTTTGTGTTTATTATTATTTTTAAATGGCATTCTTATTTATTCATATTAAATTGAAACCTTTTAGCATGTAGCGTTAGCTCATACTATAAAAACATTCACAGCCATTGCTTTAAAATCTCAATTGAACTAATTTGGTACAAAAACTTCTTACAACAATTACAGATCAGTGAGATCTGTGGGACAAATCTGAATGTATTTGCTTTGCTGTGCCGTCCTGCACTGGTTATAGGAGGGCCTGCCCCCCCCACTTTGGGAACCCTTGAGTTAGACTGAAGATTAGATTTAAGTATATGTACATATGTTTAAATGTTATGGTTTTAAGGAGTGGAGAATGGATTATATCTTTGTGAAGGGCTGACAAACCCTGTGTGTGTGTCTGTGTCTGTGTGTGTTTGGAGGAAGTAGATTAGAGAAGAATTGCAAGGGGGAGGGAAAGAAAGAGATTAAGACAATGAGAGGAGAGCAGCAGCAGAGGACAGTTGTGTAATAGATGGAACTGCTGCTGCGTATGCTGCTGTTAGCTAACGTTAGCTACAACAGTCCTGGTACAGACACCAGAGCTAACGCTAGCTACAAAAGACAGACAAATGGTGTGTCCGGCCCACAACAGACCAGGTGACAGAGTCAGAGCCTAAAATGTTGACTATAGCAGCTGGAATTGTACTGTGAGTTTGTACTAATCTGTGGATGTAGTACTATGTAGTACTATTGAAAAATGTACCATGCTTGAACATTTTTGTTCTTCCACTTCATCTTGGTGTCTCTTCACTGATTCCCTCCTCAACTGGAATGTATTCAAATGAAAAACGCTGACTATTGTGTCAAATATTGATAATTTTTTTTTATTTTTCTAAATTTAAATCATTAAATCATTTCACTTCGTGGCCTGTAATTAGATCAGTTTTAATTCTCTCCCACCACTGGTACATGTTTTTCTTCTTCCCACCCGGTCTGGTTCGGTCCACTGCAGCCCCCCCCCACCTCACCTCTGCTCCTCTTTGTCCTCACTGTGTAAATCACACATCCCTTAAATATTTACCACCTTTCTGTGTCCGAGCCACCTCCACACAGGAGTGTCAGCCGTGTGCAGAAAAATAAATTATTTACACCCCCACTCTCTTTACTTCAAAGAGCTGGCAAAAGCATTCAACTCAGGACTTGACGGTGGGGGGAGAGTGTGTGTGTGTGTGTGGGGGGGGGGGGGCGCTGCTGCTCGCCCATCACTAGGCAACCTCTGTGTCACCTGCCCAGACATGCCCCAGTCATTCAGTCAGTCACTTTGAAGACACATGAACACACACACAGTACGGTTTTTAAACGACACACAGCTGAAGAGCGATGCTTTCACTAGATTTTACCCATAATTCCCAGTGGTTGATGGTCTGCTGTAGTTGTGGACGGTCATCGTGGTCAGTCGCTCCAAACATTTGTCAGTGTCTGAGCTCAGTCACTGACCCTCAAACAGAGTTGGATTTTTCTGTGCCGACTCTGGACACAGTCGGGTGGAGCGACCCCATGATTGAGCCAACTGCAGGAAGTAGAGTCAGGAGACAACAGGAAGTAGAGAGAATATCAGGACAAGGATGATGAAGAGTGGAGGAGAGACTGATGGAGCTGTGGGGTCAGTGTGATGTTGGTCGGAGGTCAGAGGTCGGAGTTTGATGTCTTCACTTGTCCTCGGTTGCTTTGTCCAATCCTGTAGTCCAGTGGCCATAGAAAAAAAACCTACTGAAACCAGTCTGTTAGTCTGGACTCCAGGTCTTCGTGGGGGGGGTCGGGGGTGAGGGGGGGCGTCCATCAGCCCTGCTGTCGAGGTGAAGAATGTGACTGTTTGAGCAACACATCCTGTGACTGAACCCTGCCCTGTGGGACCACATGTTCATTTACCCCCCACCACCATGTAGGCACCATCACACACACACACACACAGACACACACACACACACAGTTCCTCTCTGTGACTGCACAAAGGCCTGACAAAACCTACGTGGTGTCTTGTTAAAGAGACAGGCTCAGACATGTGTCCTACCGTGGGACATCATGTCAGTGTGGAACTCATTCTCATGTTTTCTCTTCTGAGTTTTTTCTTCTTTTTCCTCTGTTCTTCACACCGAGAGGAGTTTAATATTATTTAACACAAAACGCAGCGTAAAAACGACCAAAACAGTAGAAAATGTGTTTGTGTTTTCACTAAAACACCTCATATAATTCACTCACAAACACAGAACTGTGTGTGTGTTAGGTATCAGGCAGCAATCCTAATGTTTCAGGATTAAGTATTTGATTCCAAATTAAAAAGAAAAAAAAAATCAATTACAGACATTTTGCGGCCGAAAAGAATTCAATTACAGACATTTTGCGGCCATTCTGCTCTGTTTGGTTCTATTTTAATATTTTCTTTCTTTGTCACACGGCGGGGAAACTGCACTAATTCATAGTTTGTCGTCAGATTTCGTCGGTTTTGCGTGAATAATGTTTTAATAAAATAGTTTTGAAGCATTAGCCGTGACGGGGCACGGCGTAAGTATCAGCAGAAAGGGGCAGGTGTGGGGGGGGGGGCACTCCTGGGACCCTCTGGATTAAACTGTTAACTGTGGGCAGGAAATGAACCCCTGGCCCTGTCACAGCGCCATCTAGAGCAATATGTATATATCAGAGTTGAATCTTTTTCTTCACTGCATATAGAACATTTGCACAGTTCTGTGTTTTTATGGCGATAAAAAAATCTCAAAATAACAAAGACGTTTGCAGACTAAAAACCATCGTTGGTAAAATCAAACCCCTCCCCCTCCTGTATTTCCTGCTAGTTTAACTGTACAGAATCCTACACTTCCTGATTCCTCAGTCCTTGTCTCCTCGTCTCCTCCCGTCAGTCACAGCCTCACTCTGACTCTGACCTACAGTAAGAAGTGACAAACACCGGAAGACGCAGCTGAGGCTGAGTTGTGTCACAGCTGCTGTGGTCACAGAAACAGAAGTAAGTCTTAACGTCTGATGGTGGCGTTGGCACGAGCATAGGTGTGTGTGTGTGTGTGCACGTACAAATGTGTGTGTGTGTGGAGCAACAATCAACCAATCACAGTGGAGTGTCAGTGATGAGACTAGTGTAGAGTCTGGACCAGTGACCTGTTACCGTAGAACAGTACCAGGACCTTTGGTCCATTCACACCAAAAAACACACGACGACAAACACTAGAATTTGTTTTTTTCTATGGTTGAGTTCTATTCAGTGTTCGTGGCTGAGGGGGAGCAGGGGAGGGTAGTCATGTGACGGAGGAGGAGGAGGGGGCGTTTGATGCATCCACTCGTTCTGACCTCGTTAATTAATGTGTGAAGAAGAATTCTCAGGCTCTAAATCCAGTCATTCCAACTACAGTCACTTATTGTTGCTATTTTATTTTTTTGTCCGATTTTTCTAAGTAACGTTCGTCAGCTGACTTCCGAGGCTAAAAGTGAACTCAATCAGCGCGGAGCTAAATGGGGAAAATGTACGTCTAAGTTTTGACAATGGGTCAAAGGCCCCCAGAGCTGAAGTCATCGTGAAAACGCTGAGCTTCCACACAGTTCAACTCCATCAGTGTGAAACAGGTGACGTCGAACCTCAACCACAGTTAGACGTGAGCGTCAGAGGTCAGAGGTGTTCTGACCTCTGACCAGACCTGATTTACAACGTTAAATCCCAAGGATTGATCAGAGAACGTTTATCATCATGAAGACGGACAGAAGAGGGGAGAAGACCCCCCCCCACTCACCACCACATAAATACACCACCTGTGTGAACGCCTTCACACAAATCTACAGAACACTGCCCCCCCACCCCCACCCCCCAGACTGACCCTGACTCTTCAGCCCCACTCTGCTGCTCAGAGGAAAAGCAGTCAATAAAAAAAAAGCAGGTCACAATTCTAACCAGGCCATCTTTATTCATCACCCCTCCCCTCACCCAACAGGAACCCCACCCACCTTGACCACAGAGAAGGGGACAACATAAACAACCAATAAATTAGAATCTGCGTGATTAAGGCGGTTCTACGTTCTCCAGTAGAACACAGACAGTGTGGACATGGTTTACAGCGTGGTACAGAACAACAGGAGGTTCTTCTGAGAGGACGACGACTAAAAGGCAGCGCTTTACTCAAAAGTCAATCATTCTGTTTAAAAAAAACCCCAACGAAACAATCAGATTACACCGTGATGGACGCTTCTCATGTGACACCCCATGTCAACCAGGCTCCGAGAGGAACGACGCGGCGCCGGAGCCGCTGTCCTCGGCGAAGCCACTTCCTGGAGGGGGCGTGGTTTCTGTACAGTTACTTTCTTTTTACAGAGGAATAAATAGAAACAGCTTTTTTTTTTTTTTTACCAGTGAACTGTCCAGGTGTAGGAGCTACACAGTGTCATAGCATTGTTCAGAGTGGCTTTTAAATCATCATTTACTACATTCATTTCCTGGGGAAAAAAAAAAAATCAGTGGATAAAAGGAGAGCCAGTGTTCTCCGTTGAGCTCCCTGTGCTGGACCTTGTAGTTTCACTGGTACAGAGAAGGTTCCACCAAACGTACTGAGCACCTTTATCCGACCACGTCACCGACGTGAGGTCCTCTCAACAACTGACGGTGCTGGGCTGCTGTTTGCTGACAAAGTCTGAAATGAAGTCAAACTCATTCTGGCCCAGGAAAAGTTCTGGCAGCTCTTGGACTCGGTCCAAGCCCAGCTCCATGACCAGGGAGGTCAGGACCTCCTCGTCGATCATGTCGGCGTCCATGCCATTTAAGGCCAGTGCCGGTCCGGCCATGTGCTGCATGTTTGCCAGCTGAGCAGGGTTCATACGGTACTGGTTTGCAGAACCCAAGTGGTTTCCAGCAATAGGCCCCAGTGGATGTCCGTGGTACTGCGTGTTGAGTTTTTGCAGCTGCATGCTGGCCATGAGTTGCTGGGACGTAAGGCCTCCGTTCATGAACTGCTGCTGCTGCTGCTGCTGCTGCTGCTGGGAGTGCTGGGCCTGCTGCTGGTGCTGTTGTGCATGCATGTGATGCTGCTGCTGCGGGTGATGCTGCTGCTGTTGCTGCGGGTGGTGTTGCTGCTGCGGATGATGATGCTGCTGCGGCTGCTGAGGATGGTGCTGCTGCTGGAGTTGGCCGTTGAACATCATGTTGCCAGAGGTCATCTGGTGGTGACCCATCTGTGCCCCGTTCAGCTGTCCATTCATGGGCGGGCCCACCATGCCCTGCCGCTGCCTCAGTGTGGGCTCCATGTTGGCTTGGGCTCCGCTGTAATGCATCATCTGACCACTGGGCATCGCCCTCATGCCCTGCTGGTTGGCATGCTGCTGGTGACCCGCCTGCAGACCACCGTTCATGCCCATCCTGTACCCGTGGAGGCCGGGCCCCGCTGAGCCGTGGTTCATCGGGATCATGAGATGTTCGGCCATATGCCCCCTGCCTGTCAGAGGAGGAAATGCAGTTAGCTGGTGCCTCAGTGACAATGTGGACCAACAAGAACCAGGACTGAGGCCGGTCTATCAGTTAACAACAACAAACTCAGTGCTTTTCACTGGCTGTGTAGGAACAGCAACACAAAAATACACAATGACACGAGGATTTCTTTAGTGGCCAGTGATAAAGAAGGAATTTAAAAAAATCTGGAACCACAGAAGTTTTAAACATTTCCTCACCCATCTGTAGTAGTTCTACTATTACATTCTTTATTGTAACGACTTTGTAATGGATAGATAAAGGATGGATGATTAAAACAGCAAAAACATCCCAGAATAATTTGCTGCTGCTATTGAAAAAAGCAAGAAGCTTTTGTGTGAAGCAGAATTATCAGGACAAACGCTGTGGAGCAGATGATGGAGAATGTACACAGAGAGAACTCTAACAAAGTCATGTAGTGAAAGTCATCCTAACATGTTATTGTTTAGGATGGTTTGGTTAACTGATGTATGATCGATGGTGACCACTAATGGAGAGACAGAAGACTGCACATAAAAACACACTCCTGCTCCAGACTCAGCTCTGATTGGTACATTCCTGAGTCCTGAACTTCCTACTCCAGGTTGAATTAATAGATAGATGGGCAACATGTCGGGGGTCTGTGGGTTCTATGTACGACAGACTGAACGGTCACCTGCAGTTTAACTCACGTTTGGTTTAAGCTGTAACATGCTGTAAACCACAAAACTAACTAACACTTAGTTTGTCACCACTAAAAATGTGATTTG